CTTATTTAGGCTCTCTGCTATGGCATTTCAACCGTATTATCCAACGGGATCTACCGCGCGTTTCACAGCAGGCTGAAAGCAAGAGCTCTGTCTTGCACCTGAATGTTGAGGCGGCCATCAATATGACAGAGAACGTGAGACTGAAGAGAGTGGGAGCCAGTACGCAGCCCTACTTCACTCCGTTGGTAAATGCGAATGCTTCGGAGGCTGTTCCATTGTCAGTGACACGTGTCATTATCCCGTCGTGGAGCTGATGCACCATGTGCGTGGACCGCTCAGGACAGCCGGATTTCTGCATCATTGTTCACAGGCTATCATGATTCACCACATGAAAGCCCTCAAACATAGACCTTGACTGAAAACACCGTAGAATTACGGAAAAAGACAGTGGAAACCGGAATGTTTTTTTTGCTGTCGTCGACCAGCCATAGCCCTAATTCGGTTACGTCACAATCAAGTTTCAAAGGCAGGTCGGCTGAGTGCTCGTGTCCTGTCGGTTGCAGTCGGGAATGGCGTTCATTGAACTTTTCTCATTGCCGGACAGAATATGGGAACCACAAATTGTTTCGGAGTTCCACTTCCTCAGTCTCACGTGGAGCTAATGATTGACGAGTAATAAATAATGGGAACTTGTTGTCAAAAAATGAAGATGGCTGGTGTAAAAATACTGCGTTGCAGTCCGGCCAAGTTTGTGAATGCCACTCCAACTTGACATTTGGGAGACACCATACGAATCTCCAGGAAAGTTAAAAAACAGAATAAATTTAACAATCAACAACATAGAATAATTAGCTGCAGCCTGGTGCTTTATTGACTGCATTATCGCAGGACTGTGTGTAAAGGAGCTACTGGAATCAGTCGCTGGTAGAACAACCTGGTGCAACAGGGGAGAGTTTTCTGAGAATCAACAGGACCAGAAACCACTTCTGCGACTTGGGTCATAGTTCGCTTACGAGTTTACTTCGACATATACACTGGAATCTGATGAGCAGATCGGTTATACGTGTTTTTCTGAAGCGCCACACAGTCGACTGACGCTAGTTGGGCCAATGAGGTGCATACACAAAAGTTCGAAATTCGAAAGCAACAAGGTCCTCCACCTGTTCCACAGAACGGGTGTAACAGCGGCAACTTGCGCAGGAATTAGTTTATAGTGAGGCAGACTTGCGCTGCGTCTATCACACTGTTTCCCCCCACATACGCCACAACGATAACAGGACAGTGGGCGGTAAGATCACTGAGTACAATCAATTTAACTGCCTTCAATAAAGTCGTAAGGATAAGGTAGAGATTTCCGCCGAATTTTCCGTTCTGTTTGCCGTGGTTTGTCACTGGTGCAGTCAGGCCCTTATAGTCGTGACGAATTCGTTCCCAGAGGTTCAGACACGAAATTATAAGACGATCGCAAATTGCCTTCTGTATACAGAACAGTCGTGGCATAACGTCGATCCTGACGGGAAATACAACCAGCATTACGTCACTCTCCCTCCAAACGTTCGCTGTGGACGGTCTACCCGCACTCGTTTAACTTAGTTGACCTTGCTGGACTAAGCGGGTTTCATTCACGGCCTCCGGGTGTCCACCCTGCCAATGCCCAGACGACCTGAGCTACCCCCTCCCCTTCGGGCTGATGGCTCTAAGGTTATCCGAAAGCAAACGAACGCTCCAGACTGCCAGAGTGAGCAGTGCCATTTGGGAAACGGGAGTGGGAGCACCAGTCCTTATTTTGATTTTT